TGGTTTGAGAGTTGCACTTCTTCAGGCTCAGGGCTTCACTTTCGCCAATGCATTATATGTGTAGAATGAGCATCCGGTGACTCTGGAATCAGAATGCAGGGAGGACAGTTTCTGTCACTTTAAGGTGCTTGTTGGAGCCTTGAACCCTAGCCCAAGCCCAGGCTCAGTGGAGGGACTGCGGTGCGCGTGGCACGTTTACTTCGGCCTCCTGAGAGTTTATAGTATCGTTGCACTTTGAGTCAGGGGGGGAGGTCGCTTCATAAACTTCGAGAGGAGTCCTTGTAGTAGCTCATAATGGTGAGATGCCGAATGGTTGTTTGTTGCGTTGTGAAGGAGAGAGGGGGGGAACGTCGCGAAGTCACGTGGCGTCTGCTTCTCTCAAAACAGAGGGGGGGGGGGGAACGTCGCTTCAGAACTTCAAGGAGTCCTTGTAGTACCTTGTAGTTGCGCTTAATGATGAGATGGCGAATGGTTGTTTGTTTCGCTTTGTGAAAGAGAGGGAGGGGGGCACACTAGGTTGTATTGGGAACCAGATGGTTTGCCTCACGATTTTGACTGAATGTACGATACTAGACTTTCTTGGCAAAGGTCCTAGGCAACCCTCCTCTTACCCGAGATGAAAGTTGTGTGCGTAATGGCCTCAGATGCCTCCAGCCCTAGAAACATTTCGGACCCTGATGGGGCTAGCAGTTATTCGTCGAACTGTTGGCAACACACGAACACCGAAACCTGAGCCCTGAACTCGAAACTGCGGAGGCCATTGAGCATGCCGACAAAAAGAGCCATATCCCAAAGGATTCGTGGTACAGCATGTGCAGTATGTATAGTCGAGGCACGGCTTCCGACTTCGGAGAGCCACTTACCAAAAATTGTTAGGGACTTGTTGGGCCTTCTGGATTTCTTTAGCAGCTGTTGAAGCACCTTATAAGCACCCCTCTGCTGTCAGGGCTGCTGGGGCAGGACTTCATCGAGTCAGGCCTAGGGCCACTGCGAGAGTATGCGTCAGTCAGGCTTCTCCCAGAAAGAAGACAATCTCAGCTCCCCTGTCCAGTTTTGGAGTTTATGTGTAGCTATCTTGCGAATCTATGTCTATTGCGGGGAGCACTGGGACGCGAATTGCGATGCAGCTTCGGCGGTATTCGCTGAGGAATGCTTGACTTGAGATTGGTGACTGTAAGTCACTGCAAGTGTGTGTAGTACCAACCACTGTATCTCGCGAGTGTCAGGGTTTGTCAGCACGCACTTCGAGGGTTCAGGCGGTTCAGGCATCACAATCCGGCAGGACATCTGGCCCCAACAACAGAAATCCCACATACCAACACATGCCGGAGGTCAAGTTGATTGCTGGCTGGACTGGACCCAGCTGCGTGCTCAGTCTGCTCAGTGAGGAATGAGTGGTAGTACACCATTTCTCTACGATGCAGGCTTTGTCATACTTGGGTAGTCAACCGCTCGTACTCGTATCGTGGCAGTCCGGATCCCTTGCCAGGGGTTATACAGCTCAGCAGAGGCTGCTTCAGGTCGAGGATCTGGTATAGCTCCTATGTAGGTAGCTCCGAGCCCGGATTGAAGAAGTCTCTCTGCGCAGCTTTTTCACGCGCTTGCAGCTTGCATAGCTTTCAGGATGGAGGTCGAGCACCTCCTCCTGGAGACCAGCGCCATTTGCTGAGATTCCGGGAGTTTTACTGGGCAGCGCAAGATGTTGCAGCCCACAGATCATAACAACGGCTTAAAAGCGCGGAAGATGCCGCACGCCGGACAGTCCTGAATATGTTTCCGGGGAGAGCCATCGAGCGAGTCGCCTTAAGTGACTCCGCCGCTTTGCCAGCCTGATGTTCCCAACCGTCACGCGTGCGCGGAGGAGAACTCTCCCCCGAAGCATGTTTTAGGGTGAGAGGCCTTGCAGGGCCTAAAACAGCACCACAATCCTTAGCTTTGGAGTGGGAGAGTATGGCAGCCAGAGCTGCTCTCCGAATCCGTATTCCCGACTCTTTATAATCTCAAAAACCTCTCATGGTCCTTGTTGAAAGGGAGCAGAGACCAAGGAGTGCTCGGACATCCTGGCAATCCTAGAGGCGGGGCACAAGCGACTCTTAAGCTGGCAGACAGGCGGAGCTACGCCTCTTGTGACTTCCCAAAGCCCTCATCAACTGCAACTTTTTGTAGCTTTAAATCGCTGCCGAGACCTCGCAAGAGCTTCCACTCATATCTTGCGCAGGCTCATTTGAAGAGCCGAACCTTTATGGTTGGTGCGGGGCCTCGAAGACCACAGATTCCTTTTGGATGCCACCGTGCTCCCTGCAGTGCTGAGTACTTCAAGGCACATGCTCCTTAAAGCCCCCCCCAGTTTGGTTTAATCTCCTTATGACACCAGAAAAGACTCCAGGGCAACTCCTGACGTAGCCGCTTCTAGGGTGGCTAGAGTGGATATAGTGCACCTGGCCAACCTGGAATCTGGATTTTTCGGTGCCGCACGATGAATCACATGGTCCTCACTGGCGTCTTTCATCTTCCAAACTACTTGAAACTTGAAACGTTTCGTGCGGCCAAGCCTTTGTACTGGCCACGTAAGGATCTTCGAGCATCAGCAGGGAACGATCGAGCTCTTTCGCATACACTCTCCGCAGCCATCTGCCAGCAGTGCGTCGCCCAAGAGCCGACAAGTGGATCCTCCGGGCGTGCGGGTGTGCCGGCCTGAGTCTGCTGCTGTCCGCTCGAAGTTCAGGTCGGGGCATTCACTGCAACTACTGTGCAGAGGATGCAGGAATCTCATGCCTCCACACACGGATTGGGGTCTGGATTTCGTGCTAACTTTAGCCTGTTTGCCCAAGCTGGACCCGTTCAATTCTCCGTGAGGTGTAAAAACTTGCCCCAGGTGCCGGTTCCCTCAGCAATGGCCCGAGCCATCTCATGTGCGCTCGCTCAGGTGCTTCTGACAGCATGTACATGGACCACGGCGAGTCGACGCTCAACAGCTTCGGGCAAGCTGTGGTATTCAAGCCCACCTCAAACATCGACTGTAATCATGTTAAATGTGGGCACGGATTGATGATGCAACGCAATGCATGAGCACCACCTTAGAGACCCACGCCTGTGCCACCGCCAGTGCAACCTGACAAAGCAACCAAAAAGCCTACAACAGGCCTCGCTTCTTGAACGTGTAAATACTGTCGTTGCCTATATCCTGTTCAGGATCTATCGGATCATTCCACCGAAGCCGGAGATCGTTGCGAGGACAACCGATGCAATGTGCATTTGTGTGGTGGCAGGTCTGACCTCTCCGCGTGATCAAAACCAACAAAGCATGCTAGCTACCTTTCTACACCGGCATGCAAGCCTTCTACCCCGCCACATGTTCGTAACCGGGCAGGTGCTAGGCAAAGTGGCCAACGAATCTTGCATGAACGTCCACAGAGCTTCAACCTTGCTGCTTGAAGCCCCTAGTTCATGTGGCCCCTTCCTTTCCATATGAGCTTCAGGAAGACATGTTCTTGCCGCAGGCCCCCCATGCACAAGTCGAAGTACTCGCCTATGCTGCCGCCTTCCTGCACCACCTTCGCCACCCTGGGCACGTTCTCACCTGAGTGAAGAAGGGTTTGGGTGCACTTGAGGAATTGCAGCAATTGCAGCTTCTGCTCTCAGGGGTGGAGCCTAGGAACCATCGTGGTACAAGTAGGGTGCGACTGGATTCGATGATGGTTGCAGACGGTTTGCCTTTGTCAGCTCCATCGAGTGCTATTCGTGGAGGGAACCGGTAGTAGGACCACAGACATGCACGGACATGCCATATCCCGTCCCAGTTTCCCAAGGGATTCCCAGCATAGAACAACTCATAGACTGTACATTCCATGGCTGAACATTGGATCAGAGGACCTGCCCGATGGTAGCCAACGTCGCGGGCGACTTGGGCGCCTCTCGGCGGCATCCTTCATATGTGGAATGGCTTCGGGGCATCTTTCGGCCATCTTGCGTGCCCAACTCACAACAACAACCTGATGTGTGCCGCACCCAAAGCGTCAGGATAAGCCCGTCACAGACAAGCGCCTTGACTGAACTTAACAAAAATGTCACCTGTGACAATTTGACAACTCAGTCACCCAGTTTGCGGTAGACCGTGTGTAGTATGGTGTCGTGTGGTGTTCCCTTGCGTTGGCCCGTAAAACTCTGTGATGTGTGAGCGGCCCTCTGCTGATTGCTTCTTTACGGTTCTTCCCGGCAATGTGGTTTCAGGGACAGGTGGCCTATGAAGCCTCGACTTAAGCCAAAGGCGCATGGGCGAGAGCATGATCTGGGATAGGGAAGCACCGTGGTGGACCCTGACCTTGGATATAAATAGGAGCCCCTCATCCACAAGCTGTTTCGGGCCGAGTCAGCAGTTCGCCACGGATGCCAGGAGCTGAATTGCCACTGTCAACCCGAAAAGTAGGCCTACGCGATACCGATCGTCAAGAGCAAGACTCGTGCTTACAACATCTTACAGCACTTTGACGTGATGAGCAGTTTTGATATGACTAAAGACTCGCATCCGCACGTACATTCGGAGTAGAAGAGAGAGAGTTTCACCCGCGGGCGCTGCATGGTCGTGAGTCGGGTGGGCGATGATCCAGAGCCTCTCAGCCGCGCAGACAGGGCAAGGCAGGATCTGAGCATAGTTACGTGTCGCTGGGGCCCCCCCTGCGCCTTTGTCTCCAATTCAATGGAAGGGGCCACTACACACCCTGTGCCTGCCCGGCATGCAGCCAAGTGAAGGTAAAGAAATCCAAAACGGCCCCAGGCGCAGCAACAACTCACTAAACTCGATCCGAGAATCGCTACGTCCCCCGGCTTCAAAGTGTCAACCTGGAACCCCGAAGCCGCTCAGAAGGACTGTGACAGAGTTGGGAAGTTCAAGTGGCACTACGTCGCCTTGAACTCTGAAAGTCGTCATATAGAGCGGCCCTGTCCTTCAAAGCCCCGACGTCTCCAAGTCTGGTCTAGTGGACTCTTGCGCCCTCCCTTGCATGGTGCTGTCCTGGAGGCTCAGGGACCTCCATGTCAACTGCCGCGAGGCCAACTTCCGAGAGGTGAAGAAGTACGCCGCTACCGGTCTCAAGGGAGGGTGTTGAATACCTCGGCGGGGGTATAAGGCTGCGACGCTTACCATAGGTCCGTAGGTTTGCCGCAGCTTTCCAGAACCGGGATGATCGTTTATGGATGCATGTCGAATAAGTCATACACTGCAGTAGCTGTATAAGTTCTGGCACACGGGAACATGCCATCAGCCGGCAGCTGAGAAGCTTCAGGTCCATTACCCGCACTTGTTCCGTGTGGCCGACGTGATAGGGAACACGGCGCTGCACTATGCGGCCATGTCCCTCGATGCCGAGTTCGTGGCCTTCGTTCTGGACATTTACCGCGAACCCAAGAACTTCGCAACCCTCACGGCTCTTCGGGCTGCTTTAGCATCGCTTTCCCCCCTCTCCCTAGCATTCTTATGCCGGTCTATGCTGGTCTGCTGTGAGAGTGCACATGTTTTGCCCCCCTCTCAGGTCAGGTACGAAACCCGAGAGGCACTCTTGGGAGATGGCTTGGCTTTGCGCCCCGGTGGCCCCTACTCTGCTGGGGACTTCGTTGTTGCGCGACTCTCCCAGCAGGCCTTACTGGGCCTGCACACATGCTAATATCAGGTAATCACATGCGCAACATCTGTGTTATGACATGCAAAGAATTTATTATTTTGTTGACAAGTTTGACAAGCATCTGCATGGCATAGCGTTGGAACATGTTGGAATGCACCATTCGCTTTGGCATGTGACTGCCTTGCAGAGTACATATCTGCCTGTCTGTATCCTCTTCTGCCCAGGGCCTGGCGGCGACAGTCGGGGTTCTCGTGGGCGATGGCCTCGAGGCCTCATAAAAAATCAAATATATATATATATATATATATATATATATATTATACATATATCATATTTTTTCTCAGATGTACCAGGAAGTAGCCCTGGGCATCCTACCGCCCACCTAAGTCCATTTCAGCCTCCATGCTTTTTTGATGGCAATCACCTCGGAGTTTGCCGACTCGGACACAAGGACTCTGGAAGACTGGCCCTGAAGTGCTCTGCACGTCGGTTAGATTTGCACTCCCCTGAATTGCCTACGAATATGCGGGAGGCCACCAGCAGCGAGTTTGACTTCAGCCGCCGGGACGCGTTTGTCCGAGTGCAGCCGGACCCGAAAGTCGAGGATGCCTGGAACGATCTTTAAAATTTCTAAGGGGTTTCCGACAACACAGGGAGTCATTGGGCGGGGTGGGGGGCCGGGGAAAGTTGGGGGATTGGGGGGATCGTTTGTTGGGTGAACCCGAACCTCACCTCCAGCTCTTATTTTTTTTGCACTGACGACCTCCTCTTATCCAAGGACATTGTGCGAGCACTGGAGAATGGCTCCTGGCCGAAATGCTTTCCCTTGTTACTGCGCTTTCGCAGGCTTGGGCTCTGTAATGTTCCCTGTGGCTGAGTAGTGACCATTGCCCCCGAGCGAAAATTAAACGTTCTGCTTCAGAGAGATATCTGCCGCGCAGGCTGCTGCACGGCCGGGGGGGGGAACGAGTCTTGACACAAGCTGACCACAAGCTGCATGCGTTGAACTGTGTGTCTGTGATTCTTGCCGTGGCCTCTCGTCAGGCCTGCTCACATGGAGATCCTTGCAGAGGATCGGTTCTCGGAATCCCTGAATCCTCCAACCCACCGAGTTTTTCTCCCTGACCAGACCCCGAACCTTCACGAAGCACGTTACGAGGCGAAACCCTGATAAAAGAAACAATTTCCTGAGCTCCCAAAAGACCCCAAGACTTGCAGGACACATGGACCTTGGTCGAAGCGGGTGTCACGGAGAGGAAACTCCACCCAGACATCCTCAGGCTTCCTGGAAGCTTTCGGGAAGCGGAAGTCAGGAGCAAGCTCCGGGAGGGGCAGCTTTGGATCCAGCCCTTAAGGGCACGAGTTGTCAGATGTCAGATCCTTTGAGCAGAGCGTTGTGTTCCGGCACCTACACCGAAGCCCTTTTTAACGGCAGTCGATGATGGATTCCTGGAGGGCCCTGAATAATTCCTGCATACTCTGACATCATCTCTCCTAGAGAAAGCATGGAAAGACCCCTTCAACATCCTCAAAAAAGAGTGCCGCACCCCCCCCCTCCCCCCGCACACTTCTTCAAGCAGGCAAGGGACGCTCATCTTGCGGATGCTCTCCCGGGAGCGGCAGCTGCTGGCGGAGCGGACGGCGGCCAGGAAGCCGCCCCCAACCTTGGACCTAAGCAGCCTGGCAGCCGCACATGGCACCACAGAATTCGGGGAAGCCTTGCCCGTTCCTAAAGTTGTCAAAGCTTCCAAGAGTTTCGATATCTTAGGCAGAGGGGTCAGTGGGGTCTCTGTAGTTTGTGCAGCGCCGACCCTGGCCTTGCACTTTCTTGTACTGTTCTTTTTTGGGCTCTGAGCTTCGGAGTGCGGTGCCGCTTTCCCGCTTGACTTTGCATCATGTTTTTTGGATTTGTGGTCGTAGGGCTCGGAGCGCACAGATACGAGGAAAACTTTGCAGCAACAAGCGTAAGGTCTTCTCGGCCCAGCTTCCAAGCGGAAGCCAGACTCTCAGACGCAGTCGCCCCTGAGCGTGGGCGCGGCGCCCAACCTCCCGTCCATCTTCGCCCAGTCGCCCTTGCAGTCGCCCCAGTTCGCACGTAGCAGCTTGGATTTAAATGGCACGGGTGCTTGGCGCGCAACAGATAGTATCCACCATTGGCCACACAACTTGCTTTTTGAACAGTAGGATATCAGACGGTTCAGGTTTGCAGGGCCTCTCAAAGCTTGAACCAGATTTGCCGGAACCTTGAAGCCCTGAAGCACACTCTCAGGTATCCGGCCACCGCCAGATGATGTCAGCCTTCCAAGCTTGTCAAAGACGCGCTCTGAACCGGCATTGCCGAAGCTGCCTTGGGCGAGGGTGGGCTAAGCTGTCACTGGAGCCTTTTGGTAGAGCCCAAAACGGCTCCTTTAGATCGGCCGAGAAAAAAAGGTTGCAAGCCTCCGATGGCGTCGTGTGAGCAGTGAGCGCCACTTTGCTGACAAGGCGGAAATTTGCCACAAAGCCATCAACATTTCCCTTAAGCTTTCAGTGGTTTTCGGTGCCTCTAAACACAAACTGCAACGCCTAAGCCCTGCCAGCTGAGCCGGAAAGCTCAGATGGGGTGCCGTCCCCCGCATTTGTGGGTTCTGGCAAACGCCAAGCCCGAGAGCCGCCGGGAGCCATGTGCGTTCTTATCGCACTTATTGTAGAGGAGGCAGGGGAGGTCGCGGGGAAAAAAGTGCTAGCCTGCTGGAGTTGAGAGTTTTGGGGGTTTTGTCAGTTGGTTTTGGCCGACTGCACTTCTCCTAAACTTTGTGGGTCGCCTACCAAGCACATGGCAGGGGCTGCGAAGCCCTGAATCCCGCTGAGCCTCTCCTGCTTGTTAATGTCGGCAGTTAGCTCTGCACCTGAAGCGTGCGAGAGTGTGCGAAATTATGCGAGCTTCATTTCTGGAGCATTTACTTAGCACTGCCCATTCTTGTCGAAAGACCGGCCAGGCAGTGGCAAGCACCAAGGCCCTCAGGCCGAGAGGCCAAAAACCCAAAGAGCCTAACTTAGTAGTTCACTGATGTTCACTGAAAAAAAACCCCTGATGCAGTTCACAGACTCCCAACCTTGGTGCAAAATTTATACTGAGTCAGAGACTATCTGACCCCTCAGAGGGCTGTCCTGCGGACGGGCCATCTTCGCAACTGAGAAGGGAGCAGGGGGGGGCATTGCTGAGGGCCCGGGTTGTCTTAAGTACCTCGTTTTTTAGCCAAGGTGAATGCTGAGGGTCCATCCTGAACCCGCCACCGTCAGCCTGTAGGTCTGCACCATGTCAATGTCGCATATCATGAGCGTGGCCAGAGGAAGCAGGACTCTGCCTGAGGCAATGCAGAATCCAAACGTGATGCAGTCCGGGCTTGTGAAACAAGCTCAGGGCATCAGAGCCTCACATCTTCGCCACGCCAAAGAATAGTAGAAATCACTAGAGCCAAAGATACTACCAGAGAATTTAGAAACACAATCCAAAGGAGGCACAAGTTTCAGAAAGCAAGACGGAGCCGAGCAGACACCATCCTTGGCTGGGACAATGCTGCAAACGATACTCCGGTGGCCCCTTTTCGGAACGGAAGCCGAAATGCCTGCAAACATGAACAGTCCATCCCCACCCACATCATGCCCACAGGCCCGTACAAAGCTCACAAGCTTTTTTTCACCGCCACCCTTCCAGCCGTAGATTTTGAACTGATGTGAAAGCAAATTCTGGGTTGCCCGAATCCTCCAGGCCAAGGATTAAACAGTCACGTGTTCGTTGGTTAAATTCGGGCACTTGTGCAAACATGAACAGTGCCATTATTTGTTAAAGCCATTTCGTTTGTTGTCACAAACGCTGACGTACCATTAGCTAGCAGAAAAGGAGGGGGTGAGAGGAACAGGATGAGACAGAGAGCGCGAAAAGGGAAGGGAACACCGTGGGCCGTGGGCCATACAAGCATCTAGACGAAGCCTGCCTTCACTAGACCATTTGTTTTTCTTGTTTCTCGTGAACCATTCACGCCACCTCACAGCATGTGCAGTTGGCGACGAAGAAGAGGCTGCTGCTAAGCCCTCCGGGCTCGCGGTAAGCAGGTCTTGCTCCTTGCAAGCTCTATAAGAAGTCCATGGCCTTTGTTGCGGACAGCGAGTGCACCCCAGACATGTCTGAGTACCGGAGAGCCCGGACGGGAGTTATGAAAGACGGCATGCCTGACGGATCCACAAAAAAGTCCTTCACGCTCTTTGGGCATCCAGGCATCCTTCTTCGGTCTAATTGACATCTGGCAAGTCCCTACTGTGCTGCCTCGCTTAATTGAGGCCAAACCTTTGCAGCCTGGGACCACGAACAGTCATCTGAAAACATGAAGTACAACAGGCCCTACATCAGGTGCAGAACGCAACAAGTGGCGGCAATGATGGTAACATTGCTTCGGTTGCTTGCTGTTCTCTTTCTTTCAAGTCCCTCAAGAATCGCGAATCCAGGGCCCCAACGCAGCCGTTTATAAGGAAGTGCCCTAATCTCCAGCGAACTTGCAGGTCCCACTCCACCTTGGGAAAGCCACGTGGCCACTATGTTAACGAGCCCGCGAGCTACCTGAAGAAGTGCACCAAGAGTGGGGGCAAGGCGGGGAGCACCTTGGAGTCCAGGGCATACCAGTCCATGACAGGGTGAGAAGGTTCTGATTCCCAAGTTGTGCTTGTGTACTGTACCCCGGTTTCGCAGCTTTCGCTCGAAGCCCATTCACACTTTCCTCCTCATCGCTTCATAGGAAGGAATCTCAAACACTAGTTCTTCTTCGATTGCTACTAAGAACATGATTAGTGATTAGTGCGATTACAAGCGATGTCTCGGGCGCACTGTCGATTTTCCATCTGCGGTCACGTGTTGTATCACCGGCAAGGTTGGAGTGGTGACAATCGCAAGTAAGGACTGATGATGTTCGCGGGGTTGCCGAGTTTGCCTCGCCCGGACTCCTTCATCATCCTTGTCGGACGGGAAGTTGTTCATCTTTCAGTATGTTTGCTTCACAATAAGTCGTGCGTGCTCTTAAGTTTGACGGATGTTGGGCGCGGGAGGGGGTGCTGTCAGCAGATTGCGGGATGCCCTGGATCGGCGCTCCCGCTCTCTGAGCTTGTCCGCACGTTTCCCACTCATCGCGCTTCAGATTGTGAGTCCCTCGCTCGAGATCTCTGCACGCTGTCTGTTTGGCGACACTCCCATGCCTGTGCGTGGTGCACGTGGTATACTCTCGGCCAAGGCCTGCGCACGTCTTCTGCTCGAAGTCGTTCTCCCGTTTCGGATATACTCAGCTCATGTCGCACTCCCGACGATGTCCGCAAGTTAGTCTGTGTGTTGGTGCGCTTGGTTGCGAATGATTGCAGCGAATTTTGTTGAGGGTTGCCCCGCGTAGTGGCTGTATGGTGAAATTCCTTTTCTGGTAGATAGGGCTGATTTGGAATTCGGTGCTCGGGGTCGATTGGGACTTGTGCCTGTTCGCAAAAAATGTGCGGGATCAGAAGTTCGAGACTTTACCATGCTTACGCCTGATTGCTTGAACACTGTGACACTGTGCCTCAGCACTACTCATAAGGAACTGACCACAGAGCCTGCTAGAGCAAAAGGGTCTTGCAACATCGCCCGGTATGTCTACCGATGCAGAGAAGCGTGTTTGCGTCCTACGCAACTTTACATTCATTCCTTCATCCGCAAGGTGCTGACTCTGTCGGAGATGAAGCGCGAGCATCCTGAGGCGAGGGTCGTTCTGAAGGTCGCGGCTGAGCCCGATGCGCCAACACAATTTTGTCATAAGTATCAGAAGGTGCCTCCCCAGTTTCTGCGCCCCTTCAAAGGCATCGTGTGTTTTCGTTGCTTTCAAGGCTTCAGGGGCTTATTCAGGGAATGCAAGGGGGTCGGAGGTGTGTGATATCTCGGAGGAGTTGTCAGCCCTAAACCGAGAAGCCTTGAACCGGAAGCCAGACCCAAGGATCCCCAGGACCGAGATCCACAGTCTTGCAGAGCATGTCAGTACCAGCACAGCGCGTGCGGAGGAATACGATACATGCTCTGCGTATGTACGTATATGTATATGTATACGAAAAAGTATATGTATATTTGTATGTGTATGTATATGTATACGTGTATGTGTATGTGTATGTATATGTATGTATGTATGTATGTATGTATCTATGTAATTGCACTCATATGAAGATACATTTCGGAGCTTGGGTCTCTGAGGCGCTGGCCCCGAAGGAGCTGAAGCCACAGACGCGCCATGGTCCCCCGTCAAAGGCGCTGAGGACTTCACAAGATTTCAAGGGCTTTTCAGGGTATTTCAGGGTATGTTGAACTCTGGGTTCAATTTCAACTCAAGGTGTCGGCTAGGCGGCTAGGCGGGTGGCAAAGCAATTCGAGTCGCGGATGTCAGGGCTTTCCCTCCCTTGCCTGAAGAATCTTCCACCATCATGTCAGGAATAGTAGGTCTCTTGCCCAGGGATCGTGGAGACTTTCCTGGTAACGCCACAAAAACACGGCTCTTTTTCGCACCTATGGCACGCCCTGGAGAGCCTATTGCTGCTGGATTCTCCGCGCTTTTTGCAGGCTGAACGTCCGGTTATGAACCTGGTGACATCAAAGTTGCCCGGCAGCACACACCGATGTTGGTTGGCAGGGGCGGGGGGGGGGGGGGGTTGTGGTTACATGTTACAAGAATGAAGCCGAGAATGCACGTCAGCTGTTGCTAGAAGCTCTCAAAACGTGTGGCTCTATGTGGAACCAGCTCATGGGCCAGTGCAACAACAGCAACATCACGGTTCTTCACCTTACTTGCCGCTGGCTTTTTTGCTAGGCATGTCTATGTAGAAGACGCATGAAGACGCGCTCCGCTGAGGAACTTCATCGTCGCCAACGCAGTCGAGGTGATTCTGGCTGCACCCAAAAAGTGCCTTGGCCTGGAGTTCAATCGTCAACGCAACACATATGTTGACATCCCTGGCAGAGAGGTGCACTTCCCCAACTACCTCAAAGACCCAAAACGGGGCTCGGCCCCTTGCGCCATTATAAACGCCAAGCACACCCCAAGAGACCGCTCTTTGATGCTGTTTTGGTGAGATTTTCTTGTTGCCCCGGGGAGGCTTCCAGAGGGCTCCCGTGACTACCTGAAGAAGGAGGAGCAGCGGCGGGGGGGAAGCTTCCTTCAATAAAAGGGAAAGGCCCATTTTGTGTGCTGGACACTGTTGGACCCTGAGCTTCTTGGACCCTGTTGAATGACCTGCTTTGACGTCTGCACTCTCGACCCGAGAAGGGCCTGCTATGGCGGAGAGGGCTGCCTTGTAACTCACCAGCGTGAAGGTCTGCTGTCGGTTTG